CCTTTGAGCGTTTCTATTGCGGCCGAGAGGGTGGTTTGTGCTACGGAGGTTCTTCGGGGATGTGTGCTAGAGATCTTCGGGGTCGCGTTTCCGATTGACCTAATTCCTATTGCGATGGGGGATGTCTGTGTCATCGTAGGCATGGACTGGTTGAGCCGATTCAGCGCCGTCATTGACTGCGAGCGTCAGCTGGTGACTATACGAGACCCTAGTGGGGGAGTTCTTACGGTATACGGCGAGGGTACCCGTTCGGGATCAGCTTTTTGTTCGGCCGCTAGGGCGAGGCAATGCATACAGCAGGGATGTAACGGTTTTGTGGCGTATGTGATGGATACGCGGGAGACTTCCGAGAGACCGAAGACAGTGGAGGAGGTTCCAGTGGTGCGCGAGTTTCCAGATGTTTTTCCGAGGATTTGCCGGGAGTACCTCCTGCGAGGCAAGTAGAGTTTGGTATCGATCTAGTTCCAGGGGCTGCGCCTATTGCGAAGGTGCCTTATCGTCTTGCACCTCCAGAGATGCAAGAGTTGTCCTCGCAACTCCAGGAATTGTTGGGAAAGGGATTTATTCGGCCGAGTAGCTCGCCGTGGGGAGCACCGATTCTGTTCGTCAAGAAGAAGGATGGTTCACACCGGATGTGTATCGATTACCGGGAGCTGAACAAGGTGACGGTCAAGAACCGCTATCCGTTACCGAGGATCGATGATCTATTCGATCAGTTGCAAGGGGCATCTTGGTTTTCCAAGATCGATTTGAGATCAGGGTACCATCAGGTAAGAGTGCGGGATGAGGACGTCCAGAAGACAGCATTTAGGACGCGGTATGGGCATTACGAGTTCGTGGTGATGCCTTTTGGGCTCACCAATGCCCCAGCAGTGTTCATGGACCTCATGAACAGGGTATGCAGGCCGATGCTGGATCGGTCTGTGATTGTATTTATCGACGACATTCTGGTGTATTCGCGGTCTAGAGAGCAGCATGAGGGGCATTTGAGGGAGGTCCTTGAGGTACTGAGGTCGGAGAAGCTATATGCAAAATTCTCCAAATGTGACTTCTGGTTACGGGAGGTCCAATTTCTGGGACACGTTGTTAATCAGACAGGGATATTGGTTGATCCGGCCAAGGTGGAAGCAGTGATGAGTTGGGAGGCACCGAAGTCACCTTCTGAGATCAGGAGTTTCCTTGGGTTGGCGGGGTACTATCGGAGGTTTATTAGGGACTTCTCCAAGATCGCGGTGCCGCTCACCAGATTGACCCGGAAGGGTGTTACATTTTCATGGGGACCCGAGCAGCAGACTTCCTTCGAGACACTTCGTCAGAGACTGTGCGAAGCCCCAGTATTAGCTCTCCCGGAAGGGATGGAGGACTTTGTCGTATATTGCGACGCATCGATTTCGGGACTGGGTGCAGTGTTGATGCAGAGGGGCCATGTGATAGCCTATGCATCGAGGCAGCTGAAGCCTCACGAGGCGAGGTATCCCACGCATGACTTAGAGTTGGGGGCAGTAGTGTTCGCCCTCAAAATTTGGCGTCACTACCTGTACGGGGTTCGTTGTACTATATACACGGACCATAAGAGTTTGAAGTATTTGATGGATCAACCCAACCTAAATATGCGTCAGAGGAGATGGTTAGACGTGGTTAAGGATTATGACTGTGAGATCCTATACCACCCAGGCAAGGCTAATGTGGTAGCCGATGCATTGAGTCGTAGGGCGGAGAGCACTACATTGCGGGACGTATGTTTGAGATTGACGGTGATGACTCCGGTATTAGATGCTATTCGTGGGGCACAGGCCGAGGTTGTGAAATCCGGGATGCAGAAGAAGGAGCGGGTCGTTGGGTTAATTTCAGAGTTCGTTATGGATGGACGGGGACTTCTGACGTTTCAGGGTCGGATTTGGGTACCATTCGTGGGCGGTACGCGTGTTACTTTGATGGAGGAGGCTCACAGATCGAAATTCTCGATCCATCCCGGTGCTACGAAGATGTATTTGGATTTGAGAAAGGAGTATTGGTGGCCTTGCATGAAGAGAGACGTCGCTTGGTTTGTTGAGAGGTGTTTGACCTGCCGTAGGGTTAAGGCCGAGCACCAGAGACCGCATGGTAAGTTGCAGCCCTTGGAGATTCCTGAGTGGAAGTGGGAACAGATCACGATGGATTTCATCACCAAATTGCCGAGAACTGCCAGAGGAGTCGATGCGATATGGGTGATTGTGGATAGGTTGAAAAAGAGTGCACACTTCCTTGCCATTAGCGAAAGTTCATCAGCAGAGAAGTTGGCAGAGTTATACGTGAGAGAGATAGTATCTCGGCATGGAGTGCCGATCTCGATTGTTTCGGACCGCGATGTACGTTTCACATCCAGGTTCTGGAAGAAATTCCATGAGGAGTTGGGTACTAAACTGCATTTTAGTACCGCATACCACCCCAGACCGACGGTCAGAGCGAGCGGACGATTCAGACATTGGAAGACATGCTTAGAGCGTGTGTGTTAGACTTCGGGGGTAGCTGGGATGCGCATTTGCCGTTGGCTGAGTTTTCCTACAACAACAGCCATCATTCGAGCATTGGTATGCCACCTTTTGAGTTGTTGTATGGTAGGAGGTGTCGGACTCCCATTTGCTGGGGAGAAGTGGGACAGAGAGTGATGGGCAGTACAGAGATCGTACTTCAGACGACCGAACAGATTCAACAGGTGAGGCAGAGGTTATTGACCGCCCAGAGCCGACAGAAGAGTTACGCGGACAGACGCCGGTCCGAGCTCGAATTCCAGGTTGGCGACTTCGTTCTCCTAAAGGTTTCTCCTTGGAAAGGAGTGATTCGGTTCAGAAAGAGGGGCAAATTGGGGCCCCGGTTCATAGGTCCATTTCGTGTAATTGCAAGGGTAGGTCGGGTAGCTTATCGGTTGGAGTTGCCAGCAGAGCTGAGTCAGATTCACAATACCTTTCACGTATCACAGTTGAGGAAGTGTATAGCCGATGAATCGGCAGTGGTTCCGTTAGAAGATATTCAGGTGGATGCGAGCCTGAATTACGCCGAGAGACCAGTAGCTATCAGGGATCGGAAGATCAAGGTTTGCGGAACAAGGAGATACCTCTGGTGTTGGTTCAGTGGCAACATCGGAAGGGATCGGAGATGACTTGGGAGCCGGAGAGTGAAATGCGGGAGCAACATCCGGAGTTATTCGCAGAGTGAGACTTCGAGGGCGAAGTCTAGTTCTAGTGGGGGAGAGTTGTAACAGCCCGGAATTTCAGGTATTACTTTAAACTATTTTGGGGAATATTTAGGGGGGGACTCGGCGAGTTGATGCCTGACTCGCCGAGTAGGACCACGGTCTTGGTCACAGATTCGCGACTGGACTCGACGAGTCCATTAGGGACTCGGCGAGTCGACGCTGTTCAGCTGAAACCCTAGCCGTTTTGATTCTGGAGCGTATATAATGTCTTTAGGGCCGTCATGTCTCGTCTTTTGGCCGATTGAAGATAACCTAAAAGTCTGTGGACATCTGGAGCGAGGGTGAAGGCTAGTCGAAGCTTGAAGAGGTTGTTAGGCAAGGGAGAGGCAAGGCTGTGGTCAAAGGAGGATCAAGGGGATTGAGCTCTGAAGGTTAGGGACACAGGGAAACGTTTTCCAGGTAATCCTCGGATCATTTCTGTAGTTTTGGTGTTGTACACGAATCTAGGGTTTAGGTAACCCATTTAATGATTAGTTAGGTTATAGTGTTGTTACAAGTGTTTAAATCCCAGTAATAGTATGTGTAAAGGTCCAGGAAGTCCCATATTTATATATTACGGAACCATGCGAATTACAGGAGGCAGTTGATTGACTGCATGGCGTGGGCTCGCCGAGTCCAATGATCAGACTCGGCGAGTAGCTTGAAGATCCGCTTGGACTCGCCGAGTTGTTCTTCAGACTCGGCGAGTAGCCTGAAGATTTACTAGGACTCGCCGAGTTGTTCTTCAGACTCGGCGAGTAGCTTGAAGATTTTACCGGGACTCGTCGAGTCGTTCTTTAGACTCGGCGAGTGGAGTCGGGGTGGCCCCGCGATTCTTTCACAAGGACCTCGTCGAGTCAAGGGGGGGGGGGGTACTCGACGGGTAGAAAAGGGAATAACAGGGATGTTGGGGAGGACGCTTAGACTCGCCGAGTCGCCTTTGCACTCGACGAGTCCGGTCGAGTTGAACGTTGACCTATATGTAATTTCGTAGGGTCAGTGTCTTGTTTGATAAGATCATTAATAAAGGTATGTGGTATTATAGGGAGTCTGCAGATTAACGGATCGAGTGCGAGTAGCTCCAAGGGGTTATAGTTTGCAAACTGCGAGGTGAGTCTTCTCACTATACTTCACCCGGAAGGGTTTGACTGTGTGACCGGAAGGTCGTATGTGATATATGTGATTTATGCTATAACTGAAAAGGTAGATGCTATACTTGTTATGTATGTTTATATGGGCCGGAAGGCGATATGTTATGTGGTAGAAGGAACAGGTATGATGTATGATATGTGTGCTATATGTGTCATGATTATATGTGTTATGTTTTGTAAATGTTATGGGCCGGAAGGCAATATACTATGGGCCGGAAGGCAATATAATACGGGCCGGAAGGCGATATGTTATGGGTCGGAAGGCGATTATGTTACGGGCCGGAAGGCAATGTTATGTGGAAACGAGAGGTCCGGGCCTGGAAAGGCGTATGTGTGTAAGTCGTATACTGGGGAACTCACTAAGCATTTATGCTTACTAGTTGTGTTTATGTGTTTCAGGTACTAGTGATGACCGTGGGAAGGCGCCGGCGTGACACGTACACACTGCCATTGTTGGAGATCTTGGGGATTCGTTATTTGTATTTTTGAAATGAACTTGGAATAAATACTTTTGTCGAATAATGCTGTGCTATTTTAAATGAAAATTTTATTTGAAAATTTGAGCTGTTACATGTGTGTTGTTTAAAAATATGTTCTAGGCTGCTGCAAAATCAACCGTTGAAGGGGAGTTCAACATGAACATGCAAAAGATTAGTGATATTAGTCCATCTGCTTATGAACATCTAATGGCAAGGGATCCCAGTTCATGGTGCAGGGCCTTCTATGGTGGAGGATTGGCATGTGAGGCAGTAGAAAATGGAATGGCTGAATGTTTTAATGCAGTTATTGTGGATGCTAGAAAAAAGCCCCTACTGACTATGCTTGAGGGAATACGACTATACATGATGGAAAGATTCTATAATCTAAAGGAAGAAGGACAGAAATGGGATACTGAAATATGTCCAACATCAATTAAGAAGATGGAAGCATTTGGTGAAAGTTTAAAGTAAGTTATCCTATAATTTAATTTACTAATATTATCTTTCATATGCTGATGTATTCTTAACTACAGGTCCTGGTATGTTCATCCTAGTGGTGTAACTGCTTTTGAAGTGAGGAATGGTTTTTACTCTTATTGTGTTAATTTACAAGAGTATTCTTGTACTTGTAATTTGTGGGCTGTATCAAGGATACCTTGTGTACATGCCCAAGCTGCCATTATATATACACAACAAGATCCTGCGAGCTACATTAGTAGTTGGTTTAGTAAAGAGAAATATATGTTAACATATGGTTCCAACATACTACCAGTCAATGGTAGCAATATGTGGGTGGAATCTCCTTATCCAAAGCCCCTTCCACCTATTGAAAGAAGGATGCCATGAAGGCCAGCCATCAAGAGAAAGAGGCATGTTTCTGAACATGAGGACAAATTTTCACAAGTATCATCTAAGGGCAGAACTATCCAATGTAAAAACTACCAGCAAAAGGGTCACAATAAGGTCTCTTGCAAAAATCCCAAGGTGATCCCTGAACCAAAACCAAAGAAGAAAATGGGAAGGCCTAAGTTAGATCCTAATCTTACCCATTGGAGAAGAGGTGGAAGAGGAGGTGGTAAAGTCAATAGAGGTGGAAGAGGAGGTGGTCGAGGTGAACCTAATGTTAAGGTTGAACCTGAGTTTGAGGTTAAACATGTTGTGGATGAGGGGGATGGAATTGATATACCAGATATGGATATAATAGTAAGTTCCATTCTAAATTTGAGGTCATCAAACTATAGTGATGCTGAAATAATGTTTTTTCTTGGAATTAATGAATCTCAATTGATGGAGTTTTGGTGTTTAAATGTGGTGAGTGTTTAATTTTAAGGGCATTACAAATAGAAGCCAAATTTTGAAATTATTTGTTTTTGTATTCAGGAAACCAATGTGCAAGAAGAGACTCAAACAGTACAAGTGAATGAAGAAGAGATCAATGAAGAAGAGGTCAATGATGAGGATACCCATGAGGAGCAACACCCAAGAAAGCAGGATGAGGAAGACCCAACAAATCAGAAGGAGGAAGCCATCAGAGAGGATAACTGAGTTAAAGTTGAAGAAGCAGGTGGTGAGCAAATTTGGGATGACTGAAAGCACACCACTTAATTTATAATAGGGAAAATGATTGTGATATGGTAGCCCCTTTTTTTGTAATTAACTCATTGTGTTGGCTTTATATAACTCTTTGGGTAAAAATTTATCTTTTTGTAAATTTTTTGGAAAGTCAAACACTGTGACATACTTTGGTATGGTTTATAATATTATTTTGAAAGTCAAACACTGACAGTTTCCTATAGTTATTTGGTATGTACTTTTGTATGGTTTGTAATGCAGTTTCCTATAGTTATTTGGTATGTACTTTTGTATGGTTTGTAATGCAGTTTCCTATATTTTTTTGGTATGTACATTCCATAAGAAACATAATTAAACATCCAAAAATTACAATCAAAACCCAAACAATTGCAATCAAACCAAATGTGCATTTCATACTCATATACCATTACATTAGAAGATCAATTTTTCCACAATTCATACAATTACATTCCAAAACAAACAGGGAATCCTAACATTACATAGAAACATAAGTAAACATCCTAAAATTACATAACCATAACCCAAATAATTGCAATCAAACCAACCAAACACCAAATCTTCCATCCTTTAAGAACCATCCCACCTTCCACTTGCAAAGGAATCTGTTGCACTACTCCTTCCACATCTTCACCCATAAAGTCTTCAAACCCTTCATTATTGACTCCATCAATTCCTTGGTTGTGAAAATCATAGATCATCTGTTTGTACCAGTTGTTTTCTAATGGAGGAACTATCCATTCAAAGAATTTGCAATCCTTTTCCTTATCCTGCATTGGACGACATTTTGCAGTGTAACTACTATGGTGTTTAAGGGAAATTTCAAAGATTTGAAGATTAAAACCTCACATTTAACTAATATAGTGTTCTTCGGTTTCCATGAAGATAAAAACCTCGCACTCAAAGATTCAAAGATACTCACCTTGTAATTGGGGCAACCAACGAATCTCCTTCCAGGGTTCTTCAGCTTCCATGAAGTCCACCTGCCAACTAGTTCATCACAATCGCACCTTATTCGAACTTGCCTGGCTGACCTATATGCACTATTGCTGGAGATGGAGGAGGAGGAGGCCATATTCAAAACTTGCAATTCGGTCGATTTAGGGTTTGTGTACTCTCAACGTAATACATTGAGGTAAATAAAGAAAGAGAGAGAGAGAGAGAGAGGTATGTTTGAGTCAACTTCCATGTAAGCAAAATAATGCCACATCGATTTGTCACCGGTTGCAAGAGTGGTAACCGGGTAAATTGGGTCAACTCGCCGTTTTATCCGGTATTTCAGGCTTTTCCGTTAACATTTAATATTTTAGGACTTCATCATAAACGCGGGTAAAATAATAGGACTAAAATGGAGATTTCCCTTGGGTAAATCCTTAAGTTGAAGGGATAATGTAACAATAACAAAATAGGGTAAATTACACCGTACGTCGTGTATATGTCCAAACACACATTTAATCACTATTTTCAAAAATGAATTCGGATTGTACTTCATTTGCTTCAAACTTGAATGCATCGTCCCTAATATGTGTTTTTGTTGTCCATGCCAGATCTAAAATGACCATAGTGCCCTTAGTGTATTTATTTTTCATTTATCCTTATTATTTTTCCAATTTATTTATGATTTGTTTATTTGAAAAGGTAAATGGTCCTACCACTCTTTTTAGTCTCTCTTCTCATATCATATTCTCATTTTAGAGAAACTACTGTATCATCGTCTTAGCTTACCAACACCTCCCAACACCACCAGAAACCAATGGTTTGCCACCGGAATCCATTGGAAACCACTTACCTCTGATAATATGTATTCTGAAGCTTATATACAACATGAAAGATGATGAATGGAAACGAAAAACATCTCGAGATCCAAACCATCATCATGAAACCACCACCATTTTTCGGTGATGTTCTAGACCTTAATGGTACATCCAGGGCAGATGAACGCACCCATCCCAAAAATCTCTCTCTCTCTCTCTCTCTCTCTCACTCTCTCTCTTATCCATCATCGTATGTCCCAAAAATCAAAACCCAAAACATAAGCTACACACAAGCCCCAATTAGAAAACAAAATCAAACATCAAAACTTTGCGTTCTAGATCTACCGTGGATGAACTTCATGTTCATGGTCATAGAGTTCTAGGGTTTTTTATAGGTTTACTCTCCCAAATGATTTATGTAATTTCTTCAAATAAATTTCTAGGCATGCGTTTATAGATCTAGAGGATTGATTGGAATGAGTTATAGATATAGAGGATTGATTTTCCAGAATGTTTATAAACGATTTATGGGATTTGTACGAACGTTTTCAGGGATTTCTTGAAGCACTTTGTCAATATTCTTGAATTCGGAACTCAAGAACTTCAAATGTTTTTCTGGGATTTTTCAAAACGATTTCCAAACGAGTATGTGTTTTAGGTTTGACTTGGGATCTCAACATTCATTTTGATATCATGTATTTTTCACTAGTGGTGGTGCTTTCCGGAGACGGTTGTCAGATTGTTGCAAATGAGCGGCGGTGCTGAAGCTCCGACTGCAATAGAAGGACTGGTTCAACAAAGAGAGGAAGATGAGGGAGGGTGATAAAAGAGGGTGAGATTTATTAATTTAATAATTAAAATAATTATATAAATGAATTAAGGGTAATATAAATGAATTAAAAACATAAAAAGAAATTAATAAGCGCAATATAGTCATTTCATGTCAATAGGGACTAAGCGTGCACAAAAATACAAATTCAATGACGGTCGAAGTTAATTTTTGAAAATATGGACTAAACATGCGTTTGGACATATGCAGGAGGGACAAATGGTTTAATTTACCCAACAAAATATATCTTATCTACCTTTAGGTTAAGTTGCTTTCTTTTTTCTTTTTCTTGTTTTAGGGTAACTTTTAAATTATGCATTTTTAAAAACTCTTATACTTAGAAAAAGTGAAACAGCCGGTTTTTTTTTTTTTTTTTTTTTTTTTTTTTTTTTTTCATATTTTTACCGTTAAATAACCATAAAATGTTAAATAATAATAAAAAAAACCATAATTTTTCGCAGATGACCATCTACGAAAATGTTTTTCATCTGCAATTGATTTCGTTTTTTGAAAAACGATTTCAGGTTGGAGGTATGACTGAAAATCTCTGAGTTGGGTGTGGAAATTTCATGGGTCGAGGCTCGGTTCGGTTGGAACGGTATAAAGATCATTGTTTTTCCATTTTCCTCATTTTTATACAATATTTTTACTAAACATTATAAAATTCTCTTCGAAGAAAATGGTTAGAAATGACAAAGATCGTTTCCAATTAGTTAGTTATTTAACTTTATCTACGATTTTAATGTTTTTAGCCTAAAAATTAGAACCCGTAGCATTTGGTAGGATATTTTCCTAGGCATCAATATAATTTAGGAGGTACACATCTGTTACAAAAAAATAGATTTTCACAGATGTACATTTACGAAAATCTATGTTTTAGCATATGTGCATCTACGAAAATCTAGGTTTTGGTCTTATCCAAGATTAATGAATACTTAGGCTAATGCTAGTACGGTAAAAGATACCATACATCATGAACTTCGTGTTTTGAAATGACAATATATGTAAAAATTTTATGTTATATCTTCATATCATATTATGTTAGAAAAGTATGGTGGTTAAAACTTTAAAATATAATGTGTGTCAGTAATTGCAAGAAATAGGAATCAAAGTTGTAAAAGGAAGAAGACTGAAAAAGTATCTAAATGATTAAGAAAGCTAATGTGGGAAATTAGTTGAAATAGAGACTACTACTATAATCGTGACATGACAAGATAAGAGTCGTGATGCGAATTTAAGGTGAGAATCAGTTGACGTAAAATGAATACTGATGATAACGTACTTTTAAAGATTCACAATGCGAAAGAGTGAATCACGAGTTCACGACACGATTCCAAAGTAGATTGCTATGGTTCTTTAAGGACGAATCCTTTTATTGACAGATGCAAGTGCCATGAGAAACACCAAGCCGCAACACCAGAAAATAATTAGTGATGTGTGGTCGTCTTATATGAAAAAACAAAAAATTAGGTTCGTCATTTTCGCCCAAAAACATATCACGACGGAAGAGAGGAAGCTATCGAGCGATTCTGAACGATTTTCTAACGAATACATCATATCTTGAAGATTGATTGAAGGAAATTACCACAAAGCATCACCTTTGTTCTTAGGTTAAAGGTAACAAGCTCAATCTCTTGAAATATCTAAGAAATTGCTGAAATTTCATGCATGAGGTGAAACCCTAATATGGGATTGTTATGCCACTAGTTGGGATTTAGATTTTGCAAGGCAATTTGAGTAAAACAAGTAAATTTAATATGTTAATATGCAAATAACATGTTTTAATTCTTGATTTAAAGTTGAGTTCCATAAACCCTAATTATGGAATATGATGAGTTGATGATGTTAAGTGTATGGCTTAATGAATTGAGACTTGATAGAAGTTAATTCGTTGAATATGACATGAAACTGTATGAAAAATGATTAAGAAATATAATTATGCTTAACAGATTTGTACCTTAGATTAAGGTACCTAAATTATGAACTTAAGAGAAATAATACTACTTAATTTGTGTCTTAATTCGTAAGGACAAGAAAGCAAGATTAACATATAATGAATATGAAACAACCCAAAAATACAGTCCAAAATTTTCATTTTCAAATTATTAAGTAAATCTATAATTATCAAATATTTTCATCAAACATAGTCAATATCTTAAAACATTATATTCCAAGTATCAAATTAACAAAGTAAATCATCGCATGCTAAAATCAATGGTGTGTTCCATGCAATCATCCCGAGCTCTTCCCTCCGCTATCGGAAGTACCTGAAACCAAAACTAAAACTGTAAGCACGAAGCTTAGTGAGTTCCCCAATCTACCACATACCGCACATACAAACACATATATTGGGCCCCCACCCACTGTAGCAGGACTTGCTCGGCATTGGACTCGCTCTGATATTGGGCCCCGCTCGGCATCAGGCCCTTCCTGGCATCGAGCCCCGCTCGGTATACATATCTATTTCTACTAGGCCCGCCTATCTCCGGGCCCCGACCGCTATACACATACAAC